TCCTTAATTACCTGAAAGGCAGGTTTTTATTAATGGTATGGCTTGACTTTGAGCAGGGTCTCTCTGTACAGAAGAGGCACAATACAGCAATGGACAGCAGAACTGGGTTTGTCTGTAGTTTCAAGGAAAATGTTTTGTATTTGAGAAATTGGAACAATGACTCAATTCCAGTACCATTAATATGATGCTGGTAACAGAAAATGGCAATAAATAATGGGAATAATGTCTTTCTAATGGATCTATGTCTAAACCAGCTGATTATTTAAAAGCACATTTCAAGTGCTAACAATATATCAAGCGATCATATTCCTTGTTAATCATGAGGGATTGAGCTGATAGCCATGATTTTGACAGAAAAATGAAAAATTTCAAGAATTTTTCAAGATATCAATGTTATGCTATTTTATGCAACATGAAATGTTTCTGAGGCTTTTAAGTGAAAATCATAGTTGATAAACATCTTAAGATTGCTTTCCAGATGCGGGATCTGCAGACAATGGAATCTGCAGTAGGAGAAGCAGATGAAGCACAAAACTGGTGTGTAAACTACTCACTGTTTACAAACAGAGGAGCACTTGAAAAACAGGAGTTGACAACTTAGGTACATTTTGGATGGCTGAGGTTCTAGTTCACACTATTAGACAACCCTGTTATAAAAGTGCTGCTTAAAAAAAGTAATACCTTATTCAGGCCATTGAGGAAAGACACATTTATCAAGAATGCTGGCAGTTGTGCAAAAAAAGAGGAAAAAATTAGTTGTTGAAAGATTGTACTGAAGCTCCTCTTGCTGCAGCAGAGGTGACAGATGCTGGAGGCTTCTCACTTTAGACACTGTAGCTGTGCCATGTTCTTTCTTTATCAGCATTTCTTGAAAATCAGGAAAGAGGAGTTTTGAACTCATTTTCTTCCAATAAGCAGTGTTTGTTTTGAAATTGGTGTTTTTCACACAGTGAGAGAGGCACAGTAGAAAGAGTTTGGCAACGGACATTGCCTTTCTAAATAAAATAAATCATAGTGCTGCATATGTGGAAATAAAGGCTTTGAGAACTGTTATGAAGGCAGTGCATGGAACTGGTAAAACACGTGGACTCCCTTTGCTCTGTGGTACTTGGGAGAACACATTTGCAACATCAATGAAATAAACACTGGTGCAGTAAAACGCCCTTGTCAGGAATCCTTGGCTTGGGTAGCACAGTTCATGGAAGTTCATCTCCTGAGACAGAGCCTGGTGCCCACACTGTGCCTTCCCTGGCGAGCACAGCCTGGCTGGTGCCACCTCCTGGGCTGGCCCTAAGGAGATGTGCAGGGTCCTACACCAAGGGGCACCTCAACTCAACTCAAGCAAGTGGGATGTGCATTTCAGTATTACTGGTCCCAGTAGCAATATTGAGACATTTCTGAGCACCTGGCCAAGTGAACACCATGGACATTAGTTTGATTTTTGGGGTTTTTTCAGGGAATGTGCATTGCCAGTGAGTTTTTCATGCCACTTCATGCCCCTTTCATGCTACAGTTCCTCAGTTTAGATTGGTAATAACATGTCAGTGTTCTTTTAAAATGTTTCTGACCCAGAGGCACACAGGGAGCCAAGCAGCCAAAGCAATACTGGGTTGTTCCAAGACACCCAATGTGTGCCTGAGTGCACAGCTTTGCTATATCTTGGCTCTGCTCTGAATCACCACCAGAACCAAACACTGCTTGCTGTGTGCATGACCCTCTGTGTACTTTATGGTAGTATTTTAGGGACTTTTTGTTCTTTGAAAGTAATTAGAGGTGCAGAGACAGTTCCATCAAAAGACATTGATTCTTCACTGTTCCCAAAGAGGAGCAGAAGCATTTATAAGTAAAAATGTTACTTAGAGAGAAGCATGGCTTAGGACTGGCTCTGCAGGGATCTTAACACAAACACAGCTTTGGGTTTTGCCCTTGTGTCAGTGTCTGCAATAAGAGCCTGAGTAATTTACCCAAGATCCCATAGAGAGATAGCAGAATCAGAACTCTGATACGGGGTTATTGAACTCTGGTGCAGGATTTCCTCTCCTCCAGTTCTCATTTTTCTTCTGTGCTCCTGCAGATACAGAGTATCCAAGCTCTTTGGAACTTTGCTTAAAGGAAGAATGTTAATCAAAGACAACCCTTGGGAACTGGTACAGGTGTTTTGGATGTATTAATTCATGAGCAGATTTGTATAAAGAAAATTTTTACATTTAATAATTCAAATGCTTAGGTTTAATCTGGTTCTCAGTTGTAGTGTCTTAAAACCACTGAAAATGTGACCTTTAGCTGACCCATGACTATCCAAATTGACACCAGAAGGAGCTGGAAACTGACTTCATTGTGACATTAATGGATTCCTCTTCTGTGATCAATATGGGGAAACAAACTACAGATTTAAAAACCATCTCTTTGGGATCTGCATCTTAATGATATCAGAATTGAATAAATATATGCATAGTTCCAGGAATCTTCTAATGGAGCCTCTGGGCTTTGATTTTTACATCTGCTTTTCTGTGGTTTTGTAGCTCACCTCGTGCACTAGCCATTCAATATATATTTTATATTGCTACAATAGTTTGCACATTTATTTTTTAATGACAAAAGGCTCCCACCCTCTCCACATCTGCGTTGGAAGCATTTGCATAACTGAGGGCCTGCAGTGGTAAATGAAGGCAGCTCTTCTCTAGAGCAATATAGATTGCCCGGCCTGGAACACCAAAGGGAAGCAGTGAGACACTAAAACATTTCCAAGTTCAGTCCATTCTTTGTGGTGGGGTGAGAGGAGTAATTGTAAAAACAAGACAGCTAAATCAAAAGGTACTATTAAAAAAATTACAGTTATTATAATTTGTTGCAGCAGAGCAAAGATTTACTGGAAAGCTGTGGCAAAAGTACCATTAATAAAACACATAAATACTCAGTAATCTAAGGGACAGCTGTTTCACACTCTGAGAAACAGCTTCAGCAGAAATGATTACTTAAGAAATGTGACTTGTAGTCTAAAGGAATTCCCATTGTAACAGGTAAAAAAACACCTCACCTTCTCAAAGATTATTTCATTGTTTAACATGTTGGCCCTTCAGCATCTACATTATCTTGTCCATATAGGATTTTTTAAAAAATATTTATGGGGAAAATGGAGTCTGAATGTCAAAGTCTTCTAATCTTTATTGTTAAAGAGCTCAAACTTCAGTCAGTTCCATTTATGTTGCTGGAGACATCTGCAGGAAGTGTGAGCCAAGATATCCACTTACCAATGACCACTGATAGCACATGGTAAAGATATTTAGATCCCTAAAGTAACACAGAGGTGCACAAGGAGTTTTTAGACCTACACATCTCCCTGATTTCTGAAAGTGGTGCGTTCAGGAAATGACCAGCACCTGGTCTGTTATAAAATGGATCCCACTGAAATAAAAGGAAGGAACTAATCCAGAGGACTTAGATAAGGGGAGGGGTGTTTGATGTGAACACTGGGGCCACTCCAGGCCAGTGGAAAGAGCCCAAGGCTTCAGAGAGATGTTTCCCATGGCAAAACTGGAGCCAAGGCTTGAACCTCATCCCAAACCTCTCTTGAAGCTCAGTTGTGCTACCCACAATCTGCATGGATCCCTCCTTTGCAGAGATAGCTTTGAAGTGCACATCAAGGCACATCTGTGCTCTAAAGCACTGCTGAAAACCTTGGAAGTCAAACTGCTCCTTAAAATGTACTTTTAAGCAAAGTTTGGAAGATACTACTGCAAGGTAAACAGAGGATGCAATATGCTTTGTTTAACTTGCTTAGCATTTCAAATCTCTCAATCCTGACATTTCTTTGTAGCATAAAGCTCTCCAGATCAGGTTATATATTATGCATTGTAAAACTCTAGTAGTGAAAACAAACATTGTTTCCAGAGTCATCTGTTTGCAATTTTCCTTGATTACTCTTCCAATAGATTTCAAGCTGTGGATTGAAAGATTTAATGCTCACATGGATAGAATTTGTTCCTTTTCTAATGATGACTTTTAGTTACATTACTCAGTCTTAAGTCAGCCTGCATTTCACTTTTGTCAAGACAAACGATTTTGTTGTCTTAAATCAAATTCTCATGATTGTCCTCAGCAATCTGTCACAGCAGAGTTATTTTTGCCTGGCTGTTCTGACAGCCAGCTCCTAAAAACAGCATCTGAGTTTGTGTGAACGATGTTGGATGGTGCCAGTGGGGGATCAATGTAGGGATGACATAAAGGAAAAGGATCTGTAGATGAACTTGGCTTCCAGGCATTACAGGAATTTTGCACCTAGGGAGAATCAGAATCAACAGAATGGTGTCCCCAAAAGCAGGCACAGCAACAAGGAGCCATTTACTGTAAAGGACAGGGCGTGGGATGAGCTCTGCTCTGGGGATGGGAACAGTCACCCAGCAATGGAGGAGGACAAGGCCCCTTCCAGCTTTGGTGTCCCCTCAGACTGTCACTGTCTGACTGTCACTGTCTGTCACTGCCTGTCACTGCCTGTCTGTCACTGCCTGTCACTGTCTGACTGTCACTGCCTGTCACTGCCAGACTGTCACTGACTGTCCCTGCCTGACTGTCCCTGCCTGACTGTCCCTGTCTGACTGTTACTGTCTGTCCCTGTCTGACTGTGACTGCTTGAGTGTCACTGCTTGAGTGTCACTGCCTGACTGCCACTGTCTGACTGTCACTGTCTGACTGTCACAGTCTGTCACTGCCAGACTCTCTGTGGCTGTCACCAGGCACAGCCAAGGAGGGGAGGCGCAGGTGGTGATGGAGACCCTGTTCCATGGCACTTCCCCCCTCCTGCTGATGAGTTCACCTGAAGGGCTTTGCTGTGAGCCCTGAGCTCCTTGAATTCCTTCTGGGAACACAGGGAACAAAAAGGGGCTCTCCTCTCCCTCACAGCCCTTTGCATGGGGGTTGCACTCTCATCTCCTTGAGGATAAAAACTTAAATTCTTCCAAAGCTCCTTTCAACGTTGTTTTCTGTGCTTTTGATCATTTATTGTTTTTATTGCTACTAACAACACAAAACTGAACTTTTAGTACTGGGAATTAGAATGAGTGCTATGGAACTCTGACAGAATTATAGCAGATTTGTACATATATGGTTTTACATTGAGTAGAGTAAGAACTGGAACTAATTTGTTGTTACAAAAGTAAAAGTACAAATGTCCTCAAAATAATATCCCAGAACAAGAGTGAATCTGAGGACACCTAACTATGCTAACATTACATGTGGAAAGATGAAAGAGCCTTTAATTCTAATTTTTGCAAATAACCCTTTTATGATTTATCAGATTTTAAGAGTTGTTTCTTAATTAAAAACATATATTAGTTGTATATGAGTTTATTTCTATGTATGACTTTTAAATGTTGTACTTCCAATTAGCTTAACACCTTCTAGTACAAATTAAAAATTAGGTAAAGTGAGTCAATGAGAAATGCCACAAGTGACATTTCCTATAAACATGAAATTAAGTAAAAACTCTCATGGTTGTTAACTGTTCCCAGATGGAACAATGATAGTTCAAAGCTACAATCCAGCACACACAACTTTCAGGTAAATTCTGTGGTTTATAGGTTTATTTGGAAATATCTACAGTTAAATTTTCCTTCTTCTGAACTTGACACAACATTATTTCTCATTTTCTTTCTTTTGCTGTATTCACAATGGACTGATTTTTACACTAACTGGTACATTGGCACCAGAGTCCCAAAACCAAACCCCTTCAATGTGGAATTCATATAGGAAAAAAAAAAGGGGGGGATTTCTCTTTCCTAAGTAGAAAACACAACACAACATCTGTAGCCCACCACTCAAGGGCTAAATCTGCCTCCATGTCAAAGAAAGAACCTGGTTAGAAATTTATCTTTTTTGTGATTGTTGAAAACTAAATTAAAGCATTTGGGACTGGGGAAGGTGTGAATCCATCTTCAAATGCAACATTTAAATTGAATTCACATGGGGGAAGACAGGAGAATTCCAAGCACAGGCTGAGCTGAGGAGGCTCTGGAACTTGTTCAGCCCTGGGATGTGTTTGGGACTGGAGCTGAACTCCAGGGACATTGGCCACATAAAGAACTCTCAGGACAAATAAATTTTGCCTTGTTTGTCCCAGGGTTATGGGACAGATGAGGGTTACATTTACAGCAAAAGGGACACAAAATTGAAATATGAATTTTTATGCATAATTACTAGCACGGAGTTTGCTCTCCTGTTTTCCTACTCAATTCCCAGACTGTCAGGAGAATTATCAACCTCTTAAAGGCAGCAAGCTGTGTGACCTGGGTGTAGGGATTTGTCAGGGGAAGAAATTTCCAGGTTTTGGTCACAAAGGAACATTAGGAACATTAAGCATTCTTCATAACAAAGCCTGATTCTTTTTCAAAAACCCCAAAACTATACAATGTCTTTTAAAAAAGAATACCAAAAAATAGTGTGTCTAGTGGTTTTATACAATAAATAATCTATTTTCTATAAATGTACAAAATAGTTACACAGCAAGTAAGAAACTGATACAAATGCAATAACTGAAAGATATATTTAATTTTATAACTGTAATAATTTATTTATGAAATATATCCACATATATATAAAATATATCATATGCTTTGGCAAAGACCTCCCTTTCTTGTTTTGAACAAAAACTATTACTACTGGTTTAAGCCCTATATAGATATTTTTACTGTTGATTTCTTTTCACTTTTCCTTTGGTCTCCATCTTTCTTCTTCTAAAATATAATTTAAAAACAGGGGGTTATTGTTTAACCTATGTGCCCTGGGGAAAGTCTGCATGAAGGTCAGTAAACCCCAAAAAAAATTTGTAATGTCACAAGTAAGGGCTTTCCTCCCTTTTAAATAATATAGAACAGGATTTGCAAAAGTTACTCTTTTTCCTTTGCTTACTCTTGTATCCTTGTAGCAAAAATAAGTCCATAATTTCTGAAGAAATCGTTTACACTGAAAAATGTCCAGGGTTGGATTTAATCCTTATTGCCAAGTTTCTGGGTTACTTGGTGCTGGTGTTTCAATGGAGAGATAAAGGTGGGATTTGTGCAAAGCCCAGGGGATGTGCTGTGGCTGTGACCTGTAGGGGCCTGGCACAGCAAATGGCCAGCACAGAACTGACTCTGATGGCATCAAGTTCCACAGTCCTAGCCTTGCATCTGTAGGAAAATTCTTTGGGATGAATCACTGAAGTTCTGTTCACCAGCTACAGTGCATCCCCAAATAATCACTGTAAGTGTGTTTGAATGGAACTTCCAAGTGCAGGAATAACTTGTGCCTAAATTAGGTAATCTATTGAATACTCAATGCATACTCTTAACTTGCTATAGTTTATAATAGTATTTATATTAGCCATTCATATTTATTCTGCATAGATACTGTCATTTAAACATCTGCCACAAAGTTACAATATGATGATTCAGGCTTGCATACATTAACAAGAGAAATATTTTGTATCTGTTTATTCTTAATGAGAACTGATGTAGAGGCAATCTCCCTCTAACTCTCCTCATTCTCCACTTGCAGCTGCCTGCACAGAGCTGTGGATGGAATCTTCAGACACTGAGCAAACAGTGAGTGGAACAGTTTCTATTGTACTTGTTTAAATCACAGAGAAAAACGTTTCCTGAAGCTTTGCATTGCTGAAGTTTGGGTCTGCCTTTGAAGTTTTCCTCAATAGTGATACATTCCCTGCCAGGTTACATGGTAAAGGTTTATCCTTTTCTGAGGCTCTCTCGAGGGGAGAAAAGCTTCTTCATACAGGTTCCCATGCCCTCAGAGGGGCACTGCTGAAATGGAAGTGTTGCCTACTGCTGAATTCTCCACTGGCATCACACTGAAGCATCAAGTTTGTCCATCTCAAGGGAGAGTTGTAGTTTAAGTTCTTGTTTCTGAGCTCCAGCAAATAAATGTTAAAGCTTTAAAGAAAACAAAGCAACAAACAAATAGAGCCAAACTGTTGAATATTCAGCACTAAGTCCCTGTTAGCTGAGATAATTGTGGTTGCCCTCCTTGGTTATGTGTACAGAGTGAGCTCTACACCATTCTCTAATTAGCTCTGCTCAAATAATCACAGCAACAAATTCAGCTTGGGGACCTCTAATCCAAGTGTTTCCCTTCATAGCAAAGAATTTGGGGTATTGGTGTGACTTTTTTAGAAGTGGCAATATTTGAAACTGGCTACTGGGTCACAGTAACCTCCTCATACCTGACAACAAAAGCAGATTTACTTTTCCCTCCAGATACTTCTTCCACAAAGTTTTTCCTGTTTCTTTACCTTAACACTTCAGCTTTCACTGGAGCACTGCACTGGGATGTGTAGCTTAATTTGCTGCAGTGCTAAATGAGGAAAAACATGATAGACAGGAACAGCCCTTGTCCTAAAAAAAAGCTAAAATATGTATTGGCTTATAGCCAAATAATCCAACTTTTGAAGGGGTTACATCAACACAAGAAAGGCTGTAGCAGTTCTGTGTATAGTAAAGTTTATTTTAAAAATTAAATTAGGAAAAAAAAACCCAAACAATTCATGGGCCAAATTTTGTCCTTAATTTAGGGAAGGAGTGATAATATTCAGTCAAAATAATTAAGGATTCTACAATACATAGAACATTTATGGAAGGTGAATATTTCTTTTTAACGTTAAGCATCTGTAACATACCTGATTTGTTCAGAATCCTCCAGACTCTCTGTGCTACTGAACAAAATTGTGTTCCTCTTCCCTGCATTGGTCTTTCTCCTCTGTCTTTTTCATTGATCCATGATTTCTGTAGAATAGAGATTGCCTAAACTTTTTACTGTGTTCTCATCAATGTCCCCATAGATGAAATGACAATTTCATGCTCTTTGTTAGACTGCAGAAAACATTCTAGATCAGTGCAATGTTCAGCATGCCCCTAACTGGACAGATCTGCTGTTTCAAAATCACCACATCATAAAAAGAAACAAAGAAAATTCCAAGCAGTGCTGGCTGGCCTCTTTCCTTCACTTATTAAACTCTGATGTGACACAGGAGTTTTCTTGCTTTTTTTCTTCCTGTTCACTCCCCCATCCCACTGAAGGGGAAGTGAACAAGCATCAGTGGAAGTGCTTGGCTGCTGGCCAGGGTTAACCCACCACAACTGCAGAGGGGAGATTATTTAAAATCAATACCTTTTAATCACTTCCTCTTGATAAATGCATCTTAATTAATTTATCTCCATGAAATGCCTCATCATGTGGCCAGGTAGCAGTGACAGGGAAAGTGACTCACCTCCTTCTGTCCTGCATTCTTCTGCAGAACTGCAAACACTGCTTGTCACGGGCATCCAAACAGGAACAGCGCAGCGAGGGCTGGGGCGCGCTCTGGCTCTGCCCTGTGCTCCTCTTGCCTCTGAAGCTGCCTCTGTAGTTAGACAGTCCATAGGGCACAGTCCTCCTGTGGTGAGAATAACACAGGAACCAATTAAAATTATGTTCCACCTCTTTTCCAGTTTAGTGAAGAGATCTGTTGATGGAAAGCAATAAATAGTGGCAGAAAAATCAAACCCTGTGCTCATCTAAGTTCTCCCTGGACCAGATCATAACTTCTGCTCCATCAGCTCAGGCTTTCACCAAGTTATAAATTAGCAGTCAGCTCTACTGGAAGGATTAATTGGCAGATACACTACTATAAAAAAATTGGAATACCTAAGAGGTGATGCAAATACATCCCCAGGTTATTGTTTATTTTACTCCTTATTCCTGTGTTTTGTTCGTTTCCCCAGCCAATGTACAAAATCTGTCACATTCAGTGCCTTGGCTGGCCTGAAGTGCCAGAGGAGCTGTGCTGATTTCACCAGATCAGTAACATTGTGTAGTTGTCATGTAGTTCATGGTTCTGAGTCTGACTTGTCGTTAATTTTATCATTGAGAAATTGAGAAAACTGTCAGCATGACTCATTTACTGCATCAAGTTTTGAATGACCCCTGGAGTTAAAAATGCAAGAAATTCCCACACAATCCTCCTTGTATGGTTCTACCTTTCAGTGAGAGATCCTATTCTGTGCTGCAGCACGCCAAGAAATATTAGGAGGTACCTCTCTGTATTTCCCTGCATGATTTGCTCTTTAATGGGTTATGGTCAATATTCCTATCAGAAAAGGACATGGTTCATCACTGCCTGCTAAAATCCCCACAAAGAGTTGGATAGTTTGGATTGATGTCATAAATTACTCTCTTCTAAGCTGTTAAAGAATCTCAATCAACAGCAGCTGTACTCCCCATGAAACTTCTGGAGACTCATAAAAGTTCCTGAGGACTTGAGGGATGGGCTAAGCAAGGCACAAATCCACAAATGCTAAAAATCTGAAGAGAATCTCATGTTCAAAAGCAAGAAAGAGGAGGGGAGGAGTGAAAAAAAAAAAAAAAGAAAAGAAAAAGACAGGGAAGAGGAAGTCAGAGTCAATCTAGAAAGGTTACAGAAAGGTTACAGAACAAAGCCTGAATAATGAGTCTGGAACCACTACCTTCACATAGCTCTGCTTCTTTCATTTGCTTTCATAAAAACATCATTAGGCTGCTAATGGGAAAGCTGCAAATTTTCCATTTTCCCACACACATGGTGGGCTGAAAGGTTCAGAAACATTATTTTCCTAATCTCTACAACAATTTTTGATGCAACATCAGTACAGTTGATGCAAATCATTTATTCAAGCCTCTGCATTCCTAGTACAATTGTAACAGTGCACCTTGTCTTTCACAGCCTGAACCTGTCAGAGCTAGGTTGATCCTAAAATCATCCTGAGAGAGAGAAAAATCACAAGCAATGCTTCTGTGTTCAGAGCCCAGGGATGGTTTTTCTCCAGCAGGTCCTGGTCTGCCTCCATGCAGAAAATGTTCATTATTTTCACCACAGAACTCCTATGCCAGGACACTGGGAGAGACCAAGAACACCCACATTTGTCTTAAAAGACTTTAGGACTTGATTTTGGCCTCCCTTCTCAAACCATCATTTAAAAAGCTTTTTGTTGCCTTTAGGATTAGGAGCAAGTCCCATTTTATAATTTAAGAGTATTAATAATTCTATACTGACATCTGCTTTACAATAGTGAATGTGAAATGGCTAATGTAGGGAACTCCTGACATAAATAATTGCTCCATGGTCATATTTTTTTACACATTCATGTTTTTTATGAAGTAAGAACTGGTATTTAGAGGCAGAAGTGGGGGAAAGTTCCTTTATTTTGAATAGTGGCAAACCCTCTATGAAAAGTGTCTGGTAAAATTCTGTTATTCAACTTCCTGCTCCAACAGAGACTGAAATGGAAAGATGAATTTTAGACAATGTGAGAGCCCTGTTTAATGACAGATAGTTTGCCAGGGCATAAAGAAGTTTCTTGCAGCTTTTGCAGATGTCATCCTACATTGTGCTAATGAGACATAAAACACTGTAATATGTTTTCTCATTATTTAAAGTGGTTCCTTGTTCAAAAGTTCACTCTTTCAAAATATGATACTGGGCTTTTTTACTCTAAAGTTAAGTTTTACCAAAAGCTCTGTGGGACTGAGCCACAGTTTTCCCTGAGTCAGAGGCTCTGCCTGAATAGCCAGAGAGAAAGAAGGGCACGAGTTTTATTCTTAATTGCTACAATTGGCAAATTAATGGACCAAGCAGAAATGTCATCAACTTTTGATTTTACCTCACTCCATCCCTGTGTGAACTCCAGTGACTGAGGAAGGGGCCCATTACCAATCTGCTGCCTTTCCTAGGAGACAGTAAATTCCAGCAAACAGGGAGGAGGGTAGATATAATTATAATTACAAGTGATAAGAGCCATGAATCACAGCCTTAAGCAAAGGAGGAAAGTGATAGTTTAGATACTTCTTCTGATCTTTCTAATTAAGTACATTATGCTTCATAGCTTAGAAAATATATTCAAGGCTGCTTCATTCTCGGTGGACCAGCAACATGTGCCAATGCAATGACATTTTCAAGTGTTTCAAGTTTCAAAGATTTTAACCAGAATGAAGTTTTTGTGTAAGGTAATGTGCAGATTTGCCAATCAGAGATAGAAATACAATAACCCAAATATGCCTGGTTTTGGCTTCTAATCTAAAAATTCAAACTAAAAAAAAATACTCTTCAAATGCAACCCAAAGTCTTTCCAACAATAATCACAAAGAGTTTGATGAATTGTATATGCACAGGTCACTTCGTGTCCCCTCAGTGAAGATAAAGATCAGCTGGTGGGGCAGAGGCAGAACTAGGGGGATCCTGAACTACCAGTTCCTTACACTGTCTTTTATGATCCAGTCCCTGGACAAAGTACTGGCTAAGCCATTTACCTTTTATTTTTTTTAATTTCTCTACAACATCCACAGGTTTTTAATTAATTAATTTTTTAAGGTTTACATTTCACAAGAAAACTTGAATTCTTGACTTTTAACTCAGTATGCAGCATTTCTTCCTCTAGGAGAATAAAATTCTCCTGAAGTAAACGAATATGAGTTTAAGATATATTTGCAGCTAAGGTGTGCTGTGAGTCCTTTATGCCTTTCTTCTCTACAAAGTGGAGAATAAGCAAACCTAGACATTTCTGAATCAGCCTTTCCAAGGTGCTTCTTTGAACTGGTATCTGATTGGCAACACCCAAATCTCTGATTTCTGAGGCATTACACTCTTTTGGGAGGTTCACTATGATTACTCCAGCCAGCCTGTGGGTGCATAAAGGTCTCAGTTCTTAAGCATTTTCTAACAAAGAGAAGGTCTGAGTTTAAGGAAATAATTGCTTCTACAGTATAAGCTATTTGTTCTTGACTCTGTATGCAAAAAAGCCCCAACAAAACTATTACAATTCTCCAGTACTTGCAATTATTCCATGTGTGGTAATTATGATTAGTCAGTGCGACAGAAAATGAACTGAAGATAATCTCATGTACAACAGAGCAGCACAGAACTAATCATAGCACAGTTCTTGTCAGATTGGGTAACAGAGGCTGAAATAACCTAGATTATTTGTGTACTTCATGTCCACAACACAATTAGAAAAGCTCTCCCCCTAAGAGCCAGCTAGCTCTTGGAGGAAGGTTTTGCCATTAAATTAACAGAAATGGGCATTTGTTTGTTGAAAAAAGAGAGGAAGTACCAAGTAATTGGTATCAAGTGATTTTTCCACTGAACAGCCATTCTGAAACAGTGAAAATCTTCCACAGAAGAAAATTGCCTGTTGAAGGATTAATATCTTCAGGGTGAATTGGGAAAGAAAATTTGCCTGAGTCCTGCTGTCCCCCACTCACAGTGAAGGCTCAGAATTCAGGCAGACAAATCCAATTGGTTTATTTTAATTTTATAACATGTGGCTGAGTTTCTCATGCTATGTTATAATTGATCTATGAGCTGCTATTATTTTCTACTTTCCCAGCCACTTAAACACAGCAGATACCTCCAGGGCACTGGGGAGTTTCAGCCTAAACAAAGGGATGAGGGGGTTGCAGCAATCACCTTAGATGCTGTGATTTCAGGATTCAGCCAATATATTTTCTGGCACACATCCAGGCCAGCAAGGCTCCCAACAGACTCCAGGGCTTTCAGACAATCCCAAAATGTATGGGATCACTGTAAGGACCACTGAGAGGAAAGGAAACAAAATTTACCATTCTCCAAGAGAGACAAAATGTCCCCAGAATGAAGGATGATGCCTGGAGAAATAACAGATATTTCTGTGTGTATTTCAATATAAAGGCACTGCAGTAGCAGTGTGTAGCTTTACAGGTGAAGAGATCATTGGCTGCTCTGGAAGTTGGCTCCAGCTCTTCCTGTAACCTGTGGGGTTTTTAGGAGCTCACAATAGAGGCACCTCCCATCTTAACCCATCCTTACCATTATTTAAGGAGTGAAACATCTCCAAAGGATGCCTGTCTTGTTGATTTGGTCATCCTGTCCACATTCTCAGAAGCTGCACTTTTTCTGGGTAGCTTTTTGAAGTTAAAGCTATTTTCGGATGAAACTACTTTTATCTTTTATAGCCACACCTTTCTTTCCCACATTCTCAATTTAGTAGTGCTCAGTGTTCCTAGATTTTGAACAGGCTCCTATCATCCAAAAAGATGCACCTCCCTGACTTTGCTATCTTATCTTTTAATTAATATTTGCTAATTTGCAAGGATGCCAATTAGTTTTAGCTTATTAATTACAGCTAACTTAGGTAATAAGCCAAGGATTGCACACACCTGCTTCATCTCAGGTTCACTGACCACGTGAGTTCTTTGATTTTCCTCCACCTGGGGCTTCTTGGTACCCAGGTCAGGCTCTGTGAGAATCTGGAGCTGTTTATCACCCTCCATCCTCCTCCTGCAGCTGCCAAAGGGGTGTTACAGGTTGTTTCTCAAAAATGGTCAGAACAATATCTGAGTTGTGGAGTGAAAAGCTGGGGTATATTTACTGGGGTAAACAATATG